TTATTATTATTTATAAGATTTTAAGGTGATAGCCCTGACATTTCGCGACCAGCAAAAATGTCGGGACCCAGGCCGCTTACCTCCTCTCCATTTTTTCTAATGGAGAAACTGACCGTTGGCCGAGCAACAAAGCGGCCCGAGCTAGCTAGGCGATCAATCACTATGTGCATGTATAACCCGATTTGATCTTGTTTTTCACTGTATATCTTTTTACGTTTTGAGCTAATCAATCTTTTTCCTTATAGGTTATGTCCAACCTAGACCCATTCTCCACGAGACTGTGAATGGCGACTCTGATGAAGTCGCAAGCTGAAAGAAGAGGTTGGAGATATTGAGGCCGCCAACGTTAATCTGCGGGCCCTGGTTAAACACACTAAAGGGGATGTCTCTCGCTTGACCTTCAAGCTTGAGGCCAAGACTGCCGATAATGTCGGCCTGCAAGTCCAACTCGTCCAACTGAAAACCTCCACAGATGAGCGCGTGGAACAAGCTCATGACGATGGCTAGGCCTCCTTCATGTCATCGCTTCATGGAGCTTGTTTTCTGGAGCACTATCAGTTCGAGCTGATGAGGTGCTTCAGGGACTCTGACCTGGATATTTCCTACGACCAAGTAATAAAATACAATTGCAACTGAGCGTACCAAGTTAATATTTATTATTTAAAATATAGAGTGAATTCACAAAATTATGATTTTTTTTTTTTTCCAAAACAAAATTAGGATTTGTTATTGAATAATAAAAAAGAAGAAAAAAATTGACAAAAACAACTAAAGTAGTTGCATATGTTTGCCCAACAGGCACCACTCACTCACTTTTATATCACCAATCATCAAACCTTCCCACTCTAACCTCATTTTTGCCCTTTTACACACACAATCACCATTGTCTTTGCTCACCTTCCCTTTCTCTTTCTAGACCTCCCTTTCTCTCTCTCTTCTCTCTTCTCTCTTTTAATCCCTCAATATCCGCTCCTTTGTCTGCCCTCTGTAAATTTTTTCCTCGCCATAATCATCACCATCCTTCTGTTTTCCCCAATTTTTTTTCAACAATCTGGCAAATTAGCACTTAATCCGCAGGTAAAAACGTCGGTGCTCGATTCTGATGGTCGTTTTCGGGCTTTGCTCGATGAGATCAGCATCTGGGGATCGTGGGCTAGCAATCTGGGCTCCGGTTTAGGGTTTTATGTATATTTGACGATGTTGCTGGGGGCAAATAGAATTTCTTGATAAATTATCTTTGCTAATTTGTTGGATCCCACCGTGTAGATTAAGCATTCAGAACTTCCATTACGTTTATCTCTGCACATTCATAGTCTCGAGACGGTTTTTTGAAGTTTCCGATTAAGGCTGAATTTGACACCTTCTTTTTGTTGGGGGGGTAATATTTGATATTTGATATTTTTATTTTCTGCTCGACTCCATTGCAATGGATCATGTTGTGGGAGGAAAATATAAACTTGGGAGGAAAATTGGGGGTGGCTCATTTGGCGAGCTCTTTCTAGGTATCCCCTTTAACTTTGATGATTTGGTTGATAATATTGGTTTTTATTTGTTTCCCCTCTTTTAGTTTTCCTCCTCTTTCTCCCCCGTTGCATTCGGATCACTGCGAGTACCGTGTTTCTTCCATCTTTCCAAAATTTATGTCAACTTGTTACATTGGTGTAGGTGTGAACATCCAGAACGGAGAAGAGGTTGCCATTAAGCTGGTATTGCTTTTCAATTGAAATGCTCGTTAATAGTCTGTCTTTATGTTATGGTTTGTATGACTGCCAAAAGGAAAACCTAGAGTTGAATACTATGCTGCCTAAATGATTTTGTTGTTTCCAGCGTTTGTTTCAAGGGATTATCAACTTAAATCCAATCACATGCTTTCTCTGTAGTGCTAGAATAATAATTGGGATTATCAACTAAAATCCAACAATGAGTGTAGCTGCTTTTATTAAGATCGAGGTACCTTTAAACTGGTTGACTTCGTCAAACTGTGCCTAAAATGCTACGAGCATTTTTAATTCAAACTATTGAACTAAATAGACTTGTGGCCGTGCCACTTGATCATATACTTATGAAGTGTAGAACTTTATGTGTAATATTTAGGTTACCTTTGTTGAGATAAGTTTTACTTGGACAAGTTGATATTTTTCGATATTAAATGTGAACTAAATGATCAGAATGTCCGTACTTCTGTCACCATTTATTAGGAATCGGTGAAGACCAAGCATCCTCAACTTCACTATGAGTCAAAGATCTATATGCTTCTACAAGGAGGGAGTAAGTTCTCCTCCTGTTATCCCTTGTATTTATGTAGACTTATACATGTTTCTATGGGGAGTAGTCTGAAGAGACTGATACATATAATTAGATCCGAAATCAAAATTGTTGGATGAAGTGCTTCCTAATTTGCATGCTATTAATTATATTATCCAAGCTACAAAGATGGCTAGAAATATCAATTTCAACTTTTCTGAAACCTTATAGTGTGTTGTTGGTCCTTCCCTTCCTTTTATTTTTATTTTTTCTTTTTGTTGCTGTGTTGGCAGGTTGAAGATAGAATTTTAGTTAATATTAAAGTTACTTATTTGCATTATGGCTATGTGGTTGATGGAGGCAATGCCAAATCAATATTATGACTCCTCTTTCATGGTTATTATTCCCGTTCTCCTTAGAAGGCTGTTTGACCTTTTTTAGATGAGTTGAATACGTGTGCATTGATAGTGATTGAAACATCTTCTGTCATCATCACTTGTTTCTTAGTTTGGATTCTTTAATGCATGTAAATGTGAGGGTTAGTTGATGGTGGTGGAGATGGAAATTATTTCATTTCACATGAATTCAACCGTATGTTGCTTTCTCTTACCATATAGCGGGTGTTCCCAACCTGAAGTGGTTTGGAGTTGAGGGTGAATATAATGTCATGGTGATAGACCTACTAGGTCCTAGTCTGGAAGATCTCTTCAACTATTGTAACCGGAAGTTCAGCTTGAAAACTGTGTTAATGCTCGCCGATCAACTAGTAAGTGACTTGAGAAATTTATACTTTTCCTGGGCTACAGTTTTAACGATCAGCTTCATTGGTGTTGACTAAGTTTGTAATATACTTTAGATTAACAGAGTCGAGTACATGCATTCAAGAGGATTTCTTCATCGTGATATAAAGCCCGATAATTTTCTGATGGGCTTGGGACGCAAGGCGAATCAGGCATGCATTCTATCTTTTTTTTTTTAATTATTATTATTTTAATTTTTTATTTTGAGTAACTGCCATATGATATTTTATTTAACATTTTCTTCTCTGGGTTTTTATTTGGCCTGTTTCTTTGCTAGGATTTTATAGTTTATTTGTACTTCAAGTGACTGTTTAAGTTGTATTATAGTATAGGGTTCCAACTGTAATTTTTCCAGAAAACCTTTATCTTAAAATGCTTAATGGTTTATGAATGCCTCTTGCCCTAATTGAGATCTTTACGATGACGGTGCTGCATTGGTGACACTTCATTATTTATTCAGGTTTACATAATTGACTTTGGTCTTGCCAAAAAGTATAGAGATCTTCAGACGCATAAGCACATTCCATACAGGTACTGTCAGTCATCTTTTGGTGGGATTAGATATTTGACAAACTAGATATAAATTCACGTTGCATGTTATGCATCTTGTGAGTTTGTTGGGACTCCGTCTGGGCGCTTCCATGCTATGTGATGGTGTATTAGAAAATAGAGTAGTTTAATATCTGAATATAGTTGTGGTGTATATGAAAATTTCTACATTTAAGTTCTTACCAATTTCCATCACTGTACTTATTTAGTATTTCTTTTTGAACATTTTGTCACAGGGAAAACAAGAATCTCACTGGGACTGCTCGCTATGCCAGTGTCAATACTCACCTTGGAGTTGGTAAATCATCTATATAACCAGAAGTTCTCATGGGCATTTCATTGCAATTCCTTTATCTATGTTTGTTCACTAATCCTGGCAGAACAAAGCCGACGGGATGATCTGGAGTCTCTTGGTTATGTCCTAATGTATTTTCTGAGAGGAAGGTGTGTCATATATTTTTAGATGTTTACTCTCTGTCTTCTCTTGCCTTTCTCTTGCCACACGCTTCTGATCTTTTTCTTTCATCTATTTTTCAGCCTTCCCTGGCAGGGACTTAAAGCTGGTACCAAGAAGCAGAAATATGACAAAATCAGTGAGAAGAAAATGTTGACTCCTATAGAGGTTACTAGTGCCATCATTATGTTTCTGACATTTTGTATGGATTGTCCTTGTTTGAAATGCATGTTTTCGCATGTGTTGCCAAAATCCCAAAGTTCAGCTTTAACCTAACAGTTAGGGTTGTTATCGAACCGAACCGAACCGAGCTTAAGGTTTTTGAGTTCGAGTTCGACTAATTTTAGAACATGTTCATGAACTCTTCGACAAGTTCGTGTTTGTGTTTGTTGACTTTTTTTTTTTTTCAATTTTATTACCATACATTTAATATTTACTTTAATATATATCCATATTTATATGTGTACATATATAATATATAAAATTATAAAATACTTATAACGCTTGATTTGTTCTCGAACTTGTTCATGTTCGTTCGATTACTAAATGAGCATAATTTCATGTTCGAGTTCGGATCGATTACTAAACGAACGAGCTGTTATCGAACACGAACGAGCTTTGTTTGCGAACAGTTCGGTTCGATAGCCTTACTACCAATGCAATTTCCTTAAATGTTCATTTTGTTTGACATGCCTTCAAAATCTAGTCCTGCATTTCTTTTTCCTTTTCTGTTTCACTTATCTAGATTAGTCCTGATATTTATATTTTCAGCGTCGGCAGAATCTGATGAAATGAGTGATAGTACTTTAATCCTCTGAAAATAGAATAGTGAAGGTATTTAATCCTATGGATGTAGACAATAGTTACCATTAAAGAAATAGATGTTGTAAAACATATTTATCCTAGTCCTCTCGGCATTGCGTAAATAGATTATATTCTGAAACAGATTTATAGGGCTAATGGTGTAGATTTTCCCTATTGTCTTAGTTTGCATCGGCTCAGATGGCTTGCTTTGTTATCCTAGAAAGTTCACATTATCAACCATTGTTGCAGGTGCTTTGCAAATCATATCCATCGGAGTTCATATCTTACTTTCACTATTGTCGTTCATTGAGATTCGAGGACAAACCAGATTATTCCTACTTAAAGAGGCTTTTCCGTGACCTATTTATTCGTGAAGGTAATCAGAAATACTATTGTGTTATGTGTTCTTATCTCAAACCTCTTATGTAGGATTTTTCTTATTGAACAATTTTATGTTCTCCGTATCGATTAATTTTCAGTATCTTACATTTCAGTGTACACATGTTGAATTGAAACATTCATGCAGGTTACCAATTTGACTATGTCTTTGATTGGACAATGTTGAAGTATCCTCAGATAGGTTCAAGTTCCAGACAGAGGGTAATTGATTGAATATTTTTATCTATGCCATATATCTTTCCTAGTAAGAGTTTAAGGGTGTGTTTGTCTATAAAATAACTCAATCCATACTTAAATCATACACAAAATCTAATTTAACTTTAACCCAACTTCAGTATCCTCAATATTATCATATAATTAAATAATATCAATCAATCATTTTTACACATCAAATCAACTTTAACTCACTATTCATCTACTCACATTATTTTAACTTATCATCACACATCATCTCTCTCCAACTTTTATATCAAATCAATTTTTTTTATTTTATTTTAATATTATTTTAATACAAACTCAAAATTTCTCTAACTAACTATACCACAATTTTCAAAATTAACCTTGGTTAATAAAAATAAAACTCGTTTTGAGCGGATATATTTGTATCCAAGCATGCCCTAACAGTTTATTGACCGACTTTCAGAATCCCGCTGCTAATGCTGTCGCTGGAATTTCTGGTGAGAGACATGGAAGAACATCAGGTAATGGTGACCTATACCAGTTTGAGTACCCAAAATTATACACATCATATGATCCTGATATGTTGTTCTGTTATTTTAAGTGATCAAAGCCAAGCTGATTGGCTCGTGTTAACTATGAAGTGAATAATATATCAATGATTTTTATTTTGTATCAAGCGGAAGTTAGGAAATCTAATAAAACTTGTAGTCTCCAGCCCTGTCAGCTTAAAAAGAATCTTAAATTGAATGCAGTGGTATGAAGATGTTACTGTACTAGGAGATGAGCAAAATTTATAAATATTGGTATAAATTTAAATTATCATAAATTGATATATTAGAGAAGCAATTTGAGAGACATTGGTTTGCGGCAGTTGAATTATATGAATTTGACGTGTTTTCTTATGTGTTGACTGGTATTAGCTGGTACACAATCCCTATTTGCTTGGGCCTGATTTGGTTGTTCTGTTCAGTAGGACAAGATATTCGGGATAGATTCTCAGGTGCCGTTGAAGCTTTCTCTAGAAGGAACGCTACAAGTTCCGGTCGGCATGGTGAAACTTCTAGACACAGGACATCTGAAGATATACCTTCTTCCAAGGATGTGGTATAAATACAGTAATGTTTTCTGGATGATTTTCTTGTATTCGAAATCCTTCGAACTTAATTTTTTCTTTCGTGACTTCTGCCCCACCCTCTCGTGTCAGTTAGCAAACTTTCATAGTAAAATCTCGCGCGTTCTGAATAATTTGCCTTCACATTATTTTTTTTTTTCATATATTCTCAATGTGATTCTAATGTAATAATAAAATACTTGAAAATTAACACTGCATCCAACTTGGCATCTCAAATCCAACACCCCAATGACCAATTGTTATTCTTAACCATATTTTCTTATTTTTATTTATTTATTTATCTCTGTTTTACACATGCAGCAACTTGATTCAGAAAGAGGCCACACGTCTCGGAATGGAAGTTCTTCAAGGAGAGCAGCCATTTCAAGCAGCAGACCAAGCTCGTCCGGTGGCCAAGATGGCCGCACGAGCAGCAGGGTCGTTTCTAGCATCGGTCGTGTGTCCACCGCACAACGAAGTCAACCGAGCATTGACCAAAAACCATCCTCTTTCTCTCGTGCCACGGTTACCAAGGGCTCCCGGGATGACCCTCTCCGGAGCTTCGAGTTCCTCTCTATCCGGAAATAAATTGGATATATAAAAAGAGGGAGATAAAACATGAAAGAAGAAAAAGGTAATGTGAAGTGGAAGAATGATACCTTCACCTATTTATGAAAATCTTCACATTATCTTTTTTTTTTTTTTTATCCTTGTAAATGGGGAATTCATGGTGCTCTGAGTTAATGGTTCGGTATATTCGGGTTATGTTTTTGGGTCGAGCAATTGTACTTTCTATTGTAGTTACAGTTCTCTGCATCCACAAAACCAGCAGTGGCTGTAATAAAAAAGTTTTAGTATGTATGTAGCTTTTAGAGTGTCTACTTGCACTTTATTTCAAAAGTACTTTGGATTTTAATCTTTGATGCTTGTGTTATGCTGTGGAAAATTTGTATCAGAGTTGTATGTGAAGTTATATTTCCAGATTTCAGTTATTTGGCTTCTTGCATCAATTCTTGTCGAATGTGTGTGCCTTCAGGTAAGCTGCATTTCGTGTTGTTAAATTAAACGAACTTGGCTCTGCTCGACTCGTTAAGACTTGAGTTCGGCTTGAGCTTGAAGCCTTAACGAGTCGAGCTCAAGCTCATTTAAAGTTCGTTTAGTTAATGAGCCGAGCTCGGCTCAATACGATAAAGCTCGAAAAGATAATTTTTATATAATTTTCTATAATTTGGCTCGCTAAAACTCGAGATCGATTCGTTAATAGTGATAAACGAGCCGAGCTAAAGCTTGATATTTGACTCGTTTACAGGCCTAACTGAATTTACTCAAAACCCAACGTTAGATATTTATATTCTCAAACGATAAATCAAAATTAGATATCTTATCGAACACCTACTTTTAGAACAATTGCAAAAATCACCATTCATGTTCTGTCATTTAAACATATTATCTGTAACTTTAATATATCGAAATTTACTTTTTTTATGGAGCCAAGTGCCAATAATTGGCTTTACAAAGGACATTTAACTACAACGCATCAATGCATGAATTAA